AGGAAACAATACAATGACTTCAGATGATATTCTGCTATACTCATGGATCAGTGCCTTATTCAGCCATCATCAGAGAAGCTTCCTCCTGCATCAGATGGCACCAAATACAGAGATGCACAGACAGACATTAATCAGAGAAAGAGACCATGGAACATATAGTTCTAATGGGATATCTCCATTAAATACTATGCCTCGAAGCCCAGAGAACCCTAAGGAAGAAGAAGTGTAAAGAATGTAAGAGCCAGGCGAGATGAAGGATATCAGGAGAACAAAGTCCTCTAAATCAACTGAGCAAACCTCATATGAACTCACAGAGACTGAAGCAGCATGCACAGGGCCTACATTACATAGGTCTGCACCAGGTCTTCTGCATATACATTATAGCTTTCACTTTAGTATTTTTATGGGACTCCTGAGTATGTGAAAGATTGGGTCTCTGATTCTTGTGCCTTCTCTTGGGGCTCTTTTCTTTCTGTGGATTTGTCTTATCCAATTTCAATGTGATGGGGTTTTTTTTTTTATCTTACTGTATTTTCTTTTGTCCTGTTTGGTTGTTATCTCTTAGAAGCCTATTCTTTTCTAATGAGAGACAGAAAGGGAGTGGATCCAGAGGGGAGGGGAGATGGGGAGGGACTGAGAGGAGTCAAGGAAGGGGAAACCATAATCAGGATATAGTGTATGAGAAGAAAATCTATTTTCAATAAAAAGGAGTGGGGGGATGCTTAAAGGAAAGAAAATGACAACACACAGTAAAGGTAAATAGTGAGCACGACAAGAGGAGGTGACATCAGCAGCTAGGATGAAGAGGGCCTGTTTATCACATATTTAATGGAAAGTTGCTGGAAACTTTCAAAGAAGGAGTGGAGTCAAAACAGAATTGGCATCAGATTTGAGCTTTAGAAATGTAGCTGTCTGGATTGTGTGTGGCAGGTAGTCACAGTAAAGCAGAGGTTAAAACAGGAAGATGAGTGAGAAGTCTGTCATCATTCAGGCAAGATGTGAAATGCCTTAACTTCCGGGTGTGGCACTAGAGGACACAAACAACCAGATTCAACAGACCATTGAGCTTGAGCAACAGGATCAACTGGATTACACAAGAAAAACAACGAAATCGAGGTCATTTCTAATTGGCTGGGCTGAGTAACTGAGTTGGTACCACAGCCAAGGTTAG